AATAAATAGGAATGTCTTTTTGCCCTTTATTCCCCAGATGAATTTAACCAAATGAGAGATGGGTGTGTGTGTGTGTGTGTGTGTGTATGTGTGCAGAGTCAGCAGTCTGAGAACATAGGAAGTGCAGGTAATGGGAAAGAAAGAGATGTTTACAAAGCAAATATATTTAATGTCATCAATTATACACAACACTGCTTCATCTGGCATCTTTTATTATGATTAATGATAATGAATATTTTTACTGGTTTTGAGTGTACTTTTAAAAATGTGGAAAAAATTTAAAAATTAAAATAAAAATAGAAACTTGAGTACTTTAAAAACATGACACTTATTCATACACAAAAAAAAACAAAATCCAAATAATCTCTATTGATACTTTAAAAAAATACTTATATTTAGTTAGAAAATGCAAACACTGCAGAAAAGTATCAAATGGAAAAATCGGAACCTCCCTCCTCAACCACCCCAGTCCTTCCACTCAAAGATAAATCACTGCTTTATGCTCTTCTATCCTACCAAGAAAAAAACAATGCATATATATCTTTTCATTTATTTATCAGGTGAGTCATATTAGGCACACTGTTTTGTGATAGGCATTTTTTACTCAATATATCTTGATCCTATTTCCATATCAGCACCCCATTCTTTTTGCTCCTTCCAATGATGATTCAGTGAATATCTCTGCACACACATCTTAGTGTTACAGGCATTTAGTGACAGAGCAGCAAGAACAAGCTACTCCAAGCAGTCTAAACCAGCTGTGTGGTGGGAAAAGAACAATCTAGTTTTCTTGGCAAAAGGACAGTATTCAGCTGAGAGGAAAAAGAATACTTCCACATGTTCCCTTCTAAGTATAAGGCTCCTGTCTTTGCACTTGGATCCACCCAGCGTGCCATCCCTTCCCTCCCTTACAGGAGGATACTGGATGCTGGTGGCAAGAGCGGAATGTTTGTAGGAGGGAAGGATAAGCAAGTGCTGGAGAGACATGCATGGAGCAGTAACTGCCAGGGTTACTGTGCCCTTCACTCTACAACGTAGGTACTGGAAACTCCCCGTTCGTGGAAGGCCAATCTGAAGCACAGTATTGAGAGCTGTCAGGCTAGAACTGCACAGGAACCCAGTGGAGTGGCAGTGTTGGGGTTAACAAATGACTACAGAGTCCACAGCTCAGAAATGCAAGCAGTTATTAAATTCTTTGAACTTCATTGCCTCAAATCCTTTTTGAAATGATGGAAGATTTAAGTTATGTTTTAAAACCTTTCAAGATAGTCTTTTTCCAACTATCTGTTATACTTGTATCTTGTTTGACTCCCAGATCAATTCTCTGAGGCAGGTAGGCCGGTGCCATTATCCACACTTCATCTGTGAAATGAGTGCAGGGCAGGGAAGTCAAACTACTTGTCCAAGGTCAACTGGCTGATCAAATGTGCTCTCACTCCAAGAACAGTGCTCTTTCCTCAATTCTCCCAAGTCCAACAAGTTCAGCTTGCCAAGATTAGAACCCTGAACAAAGAAAAGCTAGGAATGATACAGGCAGATTCCTTACCATCTAAACCACCAGGGAAGCCCCAGAAATGATGCTAGAGATGTAAATACAAATATATCCCTCTCCAAGGACACCTGAGAACTACCTCTTCCAGTAGAAATTTAGTAAACTGAATAATAGTAATGTTGCTAAGTACCAAGTTGAGACACTAAATTTAAAACTTGACAGAAGAGTAAACAGTCTCTTCTAGTTTTGTTTTTACAAAGTCTTTTATGAAAATTTGGTTTTATGTTTTATTATAGAACACTCATACTATCTAAGTAGCTTTTAATTTTTTAATCTAGTAGCTTTTAATTTTTTAACCTAGTAGCTTTTAATTTCTTAATCTAGTAGCTTTTAATTTTTACACCTAAGACACTGCTCTGGACAGAACTTGTCTAACACTGATCTCCCGAGCTGCCTTTTGTCAGTCTAGACTGTCCGAGATGAGTGTTTTGCAAACTTTTATGAGAATGGCCTACAAAAGAGATGCATTTTGCTTTGTAAAGCTGAAAGATATGTCTGTCATTAAAACATAACTTTAACAAAATAATAATGACCTTTCCTACTAGTGACTGACTTGGATGCTTCCTACTCTTTTTCATTTTTCCATTTCATTTTTTAAAATTGTAATCACAACCAAAACAACAATTTTATGACTCACAGGTCAGGGTCCAAAATCTGAAAAACACTGGCTTAAACAACAATACACAGATCCTACCTCAAAGAATTTATACACTAGTTGAGAGACACATAATGTACATAACTCACAGACATCTTGTAGTTGGAAAATCCTTACACATAAATTAGCTCAACTATCTTTTACATCCCTGTAAGTCTTTGCTTCAGTATCTCTAGGATAAAAGTTGCCTCTTATTTGGAACCTAGCACAGAATTGGTCATATAAAGACCAGTTAAAATAGCACAGGAAATGAAAACAAAAGAGTCAAATACGTGAATATACATTCAAATTTTTTTTCCTAAAAGACATCTTGGACCTTTACTCATACATTTATCTCAGTCTTTTCCAGGAGGAGGGTGAAAAGGGGAAGGCAAATCAGGGGGACTGAATCAGTCCTCTCTGAAGACTTGAAGAAGGGGTTTTAGTTAAATATTGCAAGCAGACTTCAATATTGGAGGTCTAAATAAAGAACTCTCAGAAGGAGGGTAAGGAGGCTGGAAGTCAGGAAAAACTCCCCTGAGGAGGAGAGAAAGGAGCCAAGTCTTGAATCAGAAGGGTAGAGAAAAGGTAGGAGGGTGCATGTGATCAGACTCAGAAGATGAGGCCAGCACATTTGGGGGAGTGAAGGGTTCATAAAGGGAGCAGTAAGAAACAAAGTAAAAGAGAAAGATGGAGAACAATCTGTGGAGAGCAAGGTAAACTCTGGATTGCATCCCGCAGGTAATATGGTGTTACTGAAGATTTCTCAGTGTGTACAGAGTGGTATTTCAGAATTATTCATCTGTACATGGGCTTGAAACCTGACTCTAAAAACCTTCAAAGTTCAGACAACAGGGTCTCCAGCTGTATTTTAGTTTAGAGAAAAATGTGTGCCCACATGGACTTCATAAATTCAGAATTCTAGTAACAGCCACCTTAGTCACATAATACATACAAAAGCTGGGGTATATATATGAGTTTCTTTTGCCTTTCATCCTTTACTTTTGTTCATGAAGGGTAAGCCTTGTCTGTGGCTACCACTAAGTAACTGTTTCCTTCATGAAAGCTACAGACTTTATTCAGAAGCTTGTCCTCAGTACTGCTATGGGCCTCATAAATTACTATAAATGACTGCAAAATTTAATTTTGTATAAACAATAACACTTTTAATAATAAGGCTGTCTAAAGTTAGCATACAACCAGGACTCTCTGAAGTGTTAAATATCTAGTAATTCAGGCTCTGCTGGATACAGTGGCAGTGCCCTATGAACCTCAGGTAGAACTCAGGTCTGTCTCAGGTGAGTAAGAATACTGAATGTGAGTCATCTCAAAATTACACTGCCACCTGGAAGCATATTTAAGAGATGAGACTAAAAGCTAAATCTCTGTCAGATCTTGCATTGGTCTTCTTCCTTAAATTTGAGGATCAACAGAGCTCAGAATTCTTTAATACTTTCTCATAAGAATTATTTTTTGTGGTGGCTTAGTCACTAAGTAGTGTCTGACTCTTATGAGTCCATGGACTGTAGCCCACCAGGCCCCTCTGTCCATGGGATTCTCCAGGCAAGAATACTGCAGTGGGTTGCCATTTCCTGATCCAGTGGATCTTCCCAGCGCAGGAATCGAATCCCAGTTTCCTACATTGCAGGCAGATTCTTTACCAACTGAGCGACGAATTTTTCTAACTTCAGAAACCTAACCAAAAGCCTTAAAATTATTTTGCGCTATCAACTTTTGAGATTTCTGAGCTGTAATGTACTCCATTGTTGAGTCTGTTTTTCCACATGGAAACTACTTCAGAATAAGATTGTTAAATGTCTGAGAAAATCTCTGTACATGTCAGGTGTATATGCTATCGACCACATATATGTAAATAATTGTTTGGGGTAACAGAGACTCTTCAATGATCAAGACTCAGCCTAGCTCTTGGTTGCTGCATTTCACAGCCACATAAATGGGTTAAAGTTACAGCAACACTGAAGCCTCGCAGTTCCCCTAAACATTTAAGCCTGGATCTCAAGTTGAGTCTGAATACTCCCTGAGATGCATGTTTTGGATGAAGCTGTTTGGTCTCTATTACTGCTGCCTAAACTGGGCAGTGACTCAAGAGGCAACTGGAAGGGAGAAGGAGATGCTGGGCAAAAGCTAAGTGAAAGCCCCTCAGCAGAGTCCCTCCCCGCCTCTCTACACCCACAGCCTTTTTCTGACTCCTTGTCCCCATCAGATATTGCTCTTAGCCATTATTCCATCTCCCCCGGGTGGAACACAGTCTCCCAGGCTCATCATCTCAAACCTCCAGGGATGGCCCAGGCACGACAACTGTGTGTGGCACCTGGCTGTGGAAATTCGATTTTTCCACACTCAAACCGAGAGCTGGCTAGTCCTGGTTACCATTGAGCGAGTCGACAGGGCCTATCACAGCCCTGTGCCTCTTCGTTCTCGTGACAAAAACCTCGCCACCTGCTCGACCCCGTCCTCGGCCGGGGATGGAGAATCTGCAGTCCCTCCGCACCCCTGGCGTTTCTAGGTCACCCCGGGGTCCACACGCACATTTCTCGCGCACACGATCGAGATCGCCGCCCTCCTGTGCACGCCCAGCCTCGGAGGGCGGTTACAAACTTACTCCTCGCCGAGGCAGCCCTGCCAGGGGCGCTGGGGGCGAGGCCCAGCTGGCCAGGCCCGGGCTCCGGGGCGGATCTGGTCGGGTCGGGTCGGGGTCGGGGTCGGCCCCCCGCCGGCCCGCCGGCCTTCCTCCCCTCCCGCCCGGCCCCCGGCGCACGTGCCGGGTGACAGGCCCCCCTATAGGTTCCATACCTGCCACCGGAAGTGAGTGAGGAGGGCAGTATAGGCATTTCCTGTGACGCGAGCGCCTGGACTCCATTAGGCAGCAGCTGGGGGAAGAATCAACACACCAGGGAGCAGAGCGGAGCGGACCCGAGGACAGAGGCGGCAGCTGCCTCCGCTGCCGCCCGCCGCCGCCGCCGCCACCACCGCCGGGGCTTAGCCCAGCGGCGGGCCCTGAGCCCCCCGCAGCCGCCCCGCGGCGCCCCCCCCGGCCCGACCCCCGGGCCGCGCACCCCGAGCTGCCTCCGGGAGGGGGGGGGGGAAAGGGCCCGGATCCTCCTTCTCCCCCTCCTCCTCTCCCTCCTCCTCCCCCTCCTCTCACCCCTTACCCTGACCCCCCTCCCCGCCTCCCCGGCCCCCCCTCACCCCGACCCTGTCCCCGGCCCCCGCCTCCCCTCCCCCGCCTCGCCCCACCGGCTTCCCACCACGGCCTCTCTCGGCGAGGAAACTCTGGCCTCCGCTTCCTCCTCCTCCGACTCGGACACCGGCGGAGCCTCCCCGCCCCCGCGGAAGAAACCCCGAGCCTCGGCGGCGGAGGGAGCAGGAGAGCCCGGGGCTTCGGCAGGCAGAGCAGGCCTCTCCCCTCCGTCCTCGTCGTCCTCGTCCTCGTCGTCGTCGTCCTCCTCCTCCTCCTCCTCCGTGGTGGTAGTGGTGGGACTCCCCCCGGCTGCTGCCCCTTCCGCCGCCGCCGCCGCTGCCGTCCCCCACCGAAGTAGCGGCCACAGCCTGGTCAGCGGCAGCATCATGCAGGCCAACGGGGCAGGAGGAGGAGGAGGAGGCGGCGGCGGCGGCGGCGGCGGCGGCGGCGGAGGAGGGGGCGGCGGGGGCCAGGGACAGACCCAGGAACTCGCCTGCCTGTCGGCCCAGAACGGGGAGTCGTCCCCCTCGTCCTCGTCGTCCGCGGGGGACCTGGCCCACGCCAATGGGCTCCTGCCTTCCGCCCCCTCCGCCGCCAGCAACAATAGCAACAGCCTGAATGTCAATAACGGGGTCCCCGGCGGGGCCGCCGCCGCTGCCTCCGCCACCGTCGCCGCTGCCTCTGCCACCACCGCCGCCTCTTCTTCCTTGGCCACCCCCGAACTGGGCAGCAGCCTCAAGAAGAAGAAGCGGCTCTCCCAGTCAGATGAGGATGTCATTAGGCTAATAGGACAGCACTTGAATGGCTTAGGGCTCAAGTAAGTATCCCTTACAGGCAAGCTGGTGTGGACGGACCGAGGGGACCGAAGCTGGCGGGGAGGCGAGGGGAGCGGGGCGCGCTGGAAGGAGCTCAGTCAAAGAGTGAGAATTACTGCTGGGCGCAGGACACGGGAGGACGCGGCCCAGACAGGCTGACCAGGGAGGAGGAGCTGACCTGAAGGGAAATAAGGGAAAATCAATCAATCGGACAAATTGGGAGAGGAGACAGGCGGTTGGGAGGGTTGGGGGAGAGGGGGCGAAGGAGCCCAAAGATTCACCCCTCTCCACACACCTTCAGAGCTTAATTGTCTGTCAATAAAGACAGATGCGGGAGTGTGTCTCTGTATGTGTTGGGGGAGGGGTGGATTAGAGCTGGTGGAAATAATGAACCTTGGAGGATTTGTTTTTCAAGTGTATCTCAGAGGCATCTTTGTGGGACACCTCCCCACCCCCAACCATGACAGACGACCCAGGCAAACTACCAATCAGGAAAGACAATCAGTTACAAGTGTTTATGGGAACTGAGGGGCTGGGATCATTCGGAAGGAGGCTGCTAAATAAATCTGATGGGAATAATGAAGTAAGATACCATGTTGATGTCATGTAAAGGCCCTTGTGTGTGTGTGTGTGCAAGAGGCCTACCACTAACTTGTCTGAAATCCCAATGTAATACCAAGAAAGCGGTTGCCTCTGAAAAAGGGACATCGAATCTGGTGAATCATTTATTTTCAGATACAATTCAGATGGCCTTGTGTACTTAAAGTAGGGTGAAGGTAGACGACCTTGGCCCCAACCCACCACCCCACCCCCGTTTTGTATACACACAAAGAAAAACCAAGCGCGGGGGTGGACGGTAGGATTGGTGGGAGTACCGTGGAGCCTGGCGGAGGAACCGGACAGAATAAGACTAGGAAACAACATGCAACAGTCAGTTTCCAGCTTCAAAGCATAGATTAAACAAAATAAGTTCTTAGACCTAGCCTTCACTTAGTATTTTTGGATTTATAGATTTGTTCTGGGGAGAAGGTGAAAGAGCATTTTTAAGAGTGACATAAGTATTTTGATTCTCAGGCAGATTATTGCACTGTTTTTGCTGAAAAATGGAGCTGAATAAGAAAGCATTGAAACATAAGTATGTAAGATGGATAAAGATTCTTAGAGATATCAAAATATCTGATGGAAGAAACCACATGTGGTGAATCGTTTAAGCTCTGAAAGAAATGTATCGAAGGAAGATTTCACTTTGTTCCCTAAGGAAAAGGATTAGTGTGAAAACAGATTTTTGTAAATGCTAACAGAACCTATTACTGAGACAAGAAGCAAGCTGACAGCAGCAGGAGGAAATAACTCGTGACTGTTTGGAACCTACACCATAGTAAATTTGCTATTTTTAGTATAGAGAGAAAGGGAATGATTTTTTGATGCTGGATTTATTTTAATTTTAGAGATTGACTTGTTAGAATTTCTTTGCAGACATAATACCTGGATGTAAGGCTCTTACCTAATACAGGTCATTTCCATCACCTTGTATGGAACGAACAATTTTTAAAAAAATCTTTCAAACTGTAGTAATGTGGCTAGTATGTAAATCATGGTTTTTCATGTGTCTTAACCGGTTGGTTACAACACATTTTTAGAAATTTTATACTTCATTAAAGGCATAAAATGAAGGAAGAATTTTATTTTGATTCTGGTTTCAAGAAGGTTTTTGACTTTAGATGTAAACGTAGATGGCAGTTTAAAATTCAAGTTTGTTTAGCCAAGCACATCAAAGCTGTTTATTTCTTTTTCCTTCATCATGAGGTTAGCTTAAGAACTTTTGAAACTGTTTTCATAGACAGTAGTTTATTTGGAAGAGTAAACCCTAAAGTTGGTCAGGTCTTTTTTACACTGTATCTCTCCTGCAGCCAGACTGTTGATCTCCTCATGCAAGAGTCAGGATGTCGTTTAGAACATCCTTCTGCTACCAAATTCCGAAATCATGTCATGGAAGGAGACTGGGATAAGGTAAAGTAGGGCATATAGAGCTGTGTAACTGCTGCTAAAATTATATATTTGATGTGCATTTTGTGACATTTCTGTTTTTCTCTTATACCAATTTTTGCAGGCAGAAAATGACCTGAATGAACTAAAGCCTTTAGTGCATTCTCCTCATGCTATTGTGGTAAGAGGCGCACTTGAAATCTCTCAAACGTTGTTGGGAATAATTGTGGTAAATACACTTTTGTTCTTAGTTTCACATTTATGCTTATGTTAGTAGGTTATTGATAAGTCTAGGCTTCTGCTTCTTATAAAAGATAAGGCCGTAATTTTCATATCATTACCTTTGTAAACTAAGATGAATGTTGATGGTGTTTTAAAGTTTGAGCTTTATATTTTTAAAATCATATTTAATATATCCTTTGAACCTAGTTTATAAATTAAGTCTCTACTAAGTTATACTGAAAGATCTTTACACTCTCAATACTATTAATAGGAGTTTTATATTTATAGGATCAAGAATAAATTATCCTTTTATTCTTTAAAATACTGTGCTGGTAAAGAAAACATTTTTGGGTGTATGTATATCTATATAACCTTAAGTAGCTGACCACATTAAGTATCTTTTTTTAAAAAACAATCTTTGGGAATTATAATTAACTCGAACCAGCTCCATTGGTGTGCTCATCATTTTCCATTCCTGCCTTCCAGTTGTGTGAACTGACAGTGTCAAAGTTTGTATGACATAAATCACTCTGGTGGAGGACTCATGCAAATTTGACCATTGGGCTCTCTTATTGCCCTTATTTCCTGACAGGATCAATGTCGAAGTTTAACCTGTTAGCCTCTTTCATAAATCTTAAGGAATCTTTTATACTAATAGGCTTTAATTCTTCAGTAGATGTTGGTGAGGGAAAGGAGGGGATCAGTTTTTTTTCCTAAGTCTTTGTGATTGGAAACCATGAAGAATCAGCTGCTGGCTGCTGGCTTTTTAACTTCTAGCTGATTCATTTGTTGTCAAAAGCAGTTTCCTGTCTGGTGGGGGAGGGAAAGAAGGGGAATAGGAAGTGAAGTAGGGAAACCAGCTGGTTGTTGACTGTTACATTTTGATTTTTTTTTTAATTGGGTCAAACACTAATCTTTCTACCTTTGTCTATAAACCTAATAGACCCTCCTGTTCTGTTTTTGGGATTTTTTTTTTAAGACAATCTTAATTATAAGAGTTTTCAAATTCTTAATATAATCTTTTATAAAAATATAATCCTAGAGAATGGACTCCAAGTGAAATAAGGGAGGCGCCATATGAACAAATATGGATTCATTTAAATTGATGATCTAGTGTTTTGTGGGTTTTTCCCCCCATAAACACTTAAAATAACTAAAATGTTTAAGTTACTATTGAATCAGATGCCTGATAATAAATTAACTCGTGGAATAATCAGTTCTGTGGTAAATTTTTAAAATGGAAACACAGAAGTTAAACATCTATATTCAGAAAGATTGCAAATTTTCTAGCAAGTAAATTTTCCCCAATCAGTATGTTTGGGGGTTGCTTTTTTTTTAAGTGATACCCAAGTAAATTTTCACTGGGCAATTTTTTAATGCATTGTTAGCCCTGACAGAATGGAGGTGACCCTAATACAAAGACAAATAAAAAGACAAAATAAGAGTTGGGGTTCCTTTCCCATTGGACATTAGCACTACTTGTATGGTGACAGTAGAGAACTTGCCCATGGACTATTTTAAAATAAATGTGTGATTTCTTGGAGGATCGTTTTCCTTTTTTAAGCTTCAACCAAATTGTATCTGTAACTTTGTAGTAAAAATTATTAGTAGGCTCACTTCTTTTTTTCTTACTTATTTGTAGTAATTTGAGACTTCTGTATTGGATTTTGATTATAAATATCTCATTAGAAATCTTCATTAGAAGCAACATGTAAACTGATGAGAGGTAGTTGTAGATAATAAGGAGGAATCCTTTCTTTTTACAGCCTGTTCAGTCTATAGAACATTCTAGGATCTAATAAGAGATGAAGATAAAATCTCTGGCTGAGCCTCACACCATCAAACTGTTTAGGTATTTATAAAAGAAAGGGGTTCCAACTGTATCTCACTTTAAACATGAATGAATCAATTGCTTTTAAAGATTTAGGTCACATTTTTTCACCTAATTATGTTTAGATATACTCCTTTCCTCCACTCCATCTCTAAAAGATAATCTAATGTAAGCATAAATTTGTAATAATACCTTAGAAGACAACTATTTGGGTTTTTTTAAAAAACATAATTATTTTAATTGTATACCCAGACACATTTGATGACTTAGTCTAGACTAAAATTGTATTTTCTTTTTAAACCTGAATGTTTCTGTTGACCCAGTCCACTCTCCCTCTCAGCCCCCATATTTTTAAATTGTTCGTAGTCAAATGATTCTATGAATAGCAGAATTTTTTTCTGGAGTTTCTGGAACCTGAGCCTATGAATCAACATATTTTAATTTGGGTTCAGATATGCTTAGCCATGTCTAGAGAATTTGGGTAGATATTTGAGATCAATAACATAGAAAATTTTATATGGCTAGAAATGTTTGATTCTTAATATAATAGAAACATGCTTAACAAAAGTGTTCAAATATTAACTTGATGTACAAAAATTTACTAGTGTATTTTAAAGTCAAATAGTGAGACGTTTTGAAAGCCATGGTTTATAATTCATTTCCCCTTTCTCTGAGTCGTGATTTAATTGATATAACTTGGTTATAACCTTATTTCAGAGTTAGTCAGAATCACTACTAAGTTAGCTAGGAGTCTGCCCTTGATAACCAGACTTTGTGTATATCGTAAGTTCTGAGTTTCAGAACTTCACATTGAGTTCAGTTTAATTATATGGGAGAAAACAGTAAATCCAAATAGTGGATAGGGTGGTGGGGGACAACCTAAATCCTAAAGATTTACCACATGCACTAGGTTATGCAGGTTCACCTCATATGCAGGATTTACCACATACACTATCTTTCAAGCTATCCTACCTAGTCACTTACCAATTTCAAGTTTTTATTAGATAATAAAAGAGAAAGAATTACTGCTAGGACCAGAGATGCTGAAAAATTATCAAAGATTAAGAATAATCTCTTACAGAAGTCTAGTTAGGAGGTGGGGAAAGATGTAAGAAGAGTTTATTTTTTCAACCTGTTTTCTTTTTTCCTTCATTTAAGAAGCATGTCATCGTTTAACCATATCCCGACCTCAGCAAGCTTTAATTTTGCTTGATTCTTTAAATTTTTTCAGTAAATAATTAACATCTTTTGTGAAAGATGTTCATTTTTTTGAAATTGTATTTATACTTTTGTGCTTTAAATTTTGGAAGGTAAAATAATGGCTTTACTTTCTCCATCTTTATCATATGTGTCAAATACTGAAATTGATTCTTAGCAGACTAAACAGTTTCTCAACCAGAACTCTAGCTGTTCTTGGCCAGTAACATTAGTTACCATGCACACTACCAGAAATTGGTATCTGTTTGAGGATATTCTGTGTCTTAATCTGGATAAAATGACTCATAGAGAAATGTTCTTGCACTGCTTTTATAGCATTCCCTGTACATGCAGAAATGGGTGTTTATATTGGCTTCTCTCAAAGTTTTACTCTGCCTTTCTCTTCTCTCCTGCCCTGCCTCTGCCCCTTAGAAAGAGAGGAGCATGTTGTAGTAGGATATTGATGGGAAAGTAAGGGGGAAATAGGAAATAGCTCTTGGGGCACTGTCCCTACACAGATTGGAATGGGCAAGGAGGCATACATAGGACCTAAATGATTTATACCCCACAAATTAAGACGTGCCCTGAATTAAAACAAAATTTTCCCCCAAATTCTCAGTTACTAAGAAAATTTAGTGAAATTAAATACATATGCCACCAATGGCGTTTAAATGAAAAAATTCTGCAAGTAAAAGATACTCGAGGTTTATTCAGAAACACTGTCTAAAATGAAACTCTTTAACAGTTTGTTGATAAATGGAAATATATGAATGCTTCATTTTCATAAAGAGTTGATGTTCTTTTCAGAAGATAAAATGGTGAGAATACCCATAGTAACTTTAAAATCCTTTGATTTTTAGATTTTTTTATTTAGTCTTGGTTTTTGTCACATGATGGACTTTAAATATTTTATTTGCCATCTAGAGATTAACATTAGGTTATATGTTTCAAGGCATCTTGGTAAACTTGTTTCTGAAACATTCATTAGTCTAACTTTATGTGTAAAATTTGGTAAATGTAATTTTTCTAGAGTTACAGGAGCTTATCTCATAGTTTGAAATTTTTTCTGTTCTTTAATTGTCGGTGTAAGATTAGGTTATTATCAAACATAAGCAATGTATATTGTAAAAGATGTATTTAAACGTATGCCTAAGTTACATGGGAGGGTATGTTTCATTTACTTTCTCTAGAAACCATTTTTATAAACTTGTAGGTTAAGCTTTCCTTTCTAAATACTCCCTAAAAGAAAATCCTGTAGAACATTTCATTATACTGTTAATTTTTAAGTAAAAGGTAATTTCTCCACACCATTTTTGACAGCAGTACCTTATTTTTTTTAAAGTAAGCGTCTTATTGAAGAAAAAAAGTCATTTGAGGTTTTCTTTTAAATGGATTTGAGATCTTTACTGCTATATTCCTTGGCATCTCTAAGTATGACTAACATTTCCTGTCAACTTTTCTATCTGCATCATTTGGCTTGCTTAAGCGCCACAAGTAGCAGATATGATAGATGAAACCCTAACCCTCCAAGTAATGGTCTTTAATTAGGTTTAAGGTTTAAAAGAAATTCCAAACTTAATGTTAGTAAAAACTCTTTTTAGCAGAAAGCTGCTAAATGAGTGATGATCACTTTCAAGTTAAAAGTAAAGTAACGGAGTAAAGGAACATTAAAAGTATTAAAGTTAAACATATATCAGAAAAAACCTAAATGTGCAAGGGCTTCACCATAAGCTGGAAATGGTTTGTCCTTTGTGGGGAGGGAAGAGTTGATAGTAGTGCTTCATAGTGAAATGCATCAGGATGAGATGCTACCAATACACAAAGACCTTCAAGTTTAACCTTCAGTTGTAGGCATCCCTTTATTGCCACCTGGAGAGAGTGAGTCCATCAAGCTCATGCTTGTCCACTTTAATCATAGGAAACCCAGTGCTTTGCACGCCAACCTCTAGTCCAGTTGCTGGTCAACTCCTCTTAGCTTTGATAAGCCAAAATCTTGACACTTTGTAGCTTTGACCCAGCAGCTCCAGTTCTGCTTTTGGTCTACTTAGTCCTTTCACATTGTGGCTTTTGAATAATTCCTTCATTAACTGGTTTTTCTGCCATCTTTTTTAAACTTGTTGCATGAATCCCCCCAATACCCATTAGAGAAGTCAGACTTATTTAAAAGCAAATTTAGAATATTTGAAATAGTTCTAAATTTTCACAGAAATAAAATTATAGGTGAATGTTTTGAGGACAGAATAAGTTTTCTCCAATGTTGATGCCTTGGTCACTAATGATCTTTTCTAATTTGAGATTATTCATTCAAAGCAGAGTTTTATTAAGATGTGAAATTGAGCAATTGAGTCACATGTCATCTGTTGTGACCCTATTAAATAGATATTTTGAGTCATTTTAAAGCTTTATAAAAATTATTTTCAAAGGGCATAGTAGAATGGTTTCTACTGTTCTGTTTAGGCACAAACATTTTCTGAAACCTCCATCAACTTTTTTCCCCTGACTGCTGCTTTCTGTCATGTCAGAGGATGAAGTTTTTGCTGCTGCAGCAGAAGTACCTGGAATACCTGGAGGATGGCAAGGTCCTGGAGGCACTTCAAGTTCTACGCTGTGAATTGACGCCACTGAAATACAATACAGAGCGCATTCATGTTCTTAGTGGGTAAGGAAGCTCAGTTCTTAGACTTCAGGTTGAGGAAGAAGCTATTTTTATCAAGGTTACCATTCCAGAGTTGCATTTCTTTTAACGTTTTCCCAAGATCTGAGTATTGCTAAATTCTTGGGTGATACTTGTTGGGTAGTTTCACTTATGTGTGTTCAAACTATTTTTGTCATCCTAGGGAGCTTTCCATATTAGAATAGAGGCATTTAAGTGAATGAAAAGAAATATGTATCGACAATGAAATGCCATTTCATGATCTTCTGTAAAAGTCCTATGGCATAATGTTCTGTAGATACAATAAGCAGTGAAGTTTCCAGTGTTGTTGCATTTTTTTTAAACATATACTTGTAGCAAGTCCTTGCTAAGCATTTTATATACACAGTCTCATTTTATCCTCACATCAACCCTTTAAATGTTAGAGGGCCCAAAACCTTGGTTCTGGACCTCCCTCTCTTCTGTCTACACACACTTCCTATGTGATCTCCTTCTGTGCCATGGCTTCACCTACAATCTATATGCCAGTGGCTCATAAAATTACCTTCATCTGAACTCCTAATGTATATATCTAATAGCCTGCTTGATAGTGTCCATTTGGATGTGTAATAGGTATCTCAAAGTTACGTGTTCAGAACAAAAATTCCTGATTCCCATGATCCCTCCACCCACCCCCACAGACCTGTTCTTCCTCTAGTTTTCCTCATCTCAGTAAGTGGTAAGATCCTCTACCCACTTCTTCCAACAAAAAACTTAAAACTTCATCCTTGCATTTTAATCTTTTAACTGTGACATACATTGTTCATGTAAGGAAATTGCCCATAGAGGGCAGATATCAAATTTGACAGGGTTTTTTCCTCTTAGTTCAGTGTCCTTTGAGTTATACTATGTGACCCCCCCATAAACAGACATACATTTGAAACCTTAAAGTATAATCTGTATTTTCAAAAGGAAGCAGAAGTAATCATGGATAACTTTTGGAAATTTTTTTTAAAGAAAACAGTTTTTCATAAAATTCTTAATAATTTTCCTCCCAAAAAGTTATTTTAGAAACCAAAATTTTTGTAGTGTCCAGCTTCTTTTATGGGGTTTTGTGAGTCTGATTACTTACACTATTAAAAAGTAAATTCTCATCAGCTAAGGCATGTATGCATGCTCTGTCGCTTCAGTAATGTTTGACTCTTTGCGACCCTTTGGACTATAGCCCGCCAAGCTCTTCTGTCCATGGGGATTCTCTAGGCAAGAATACTGGAGTGGGTTGCCGTACTGTGCTCCAGGGGATCTTCCCCACCCAGGGATCAAACCCACATCAAGTCCCCTTCATTGGCAGGTGGGTTCTTTACCACTAGTGCCACCTGGGAAGCTCCAGTCAAGCCATATTTATATAGCAAATATCAGGAGAACAAGTAGTCCTCCTATTGGGTAAGAGGCTATTAGATTCTTTAGCTGCTAAATGCAATTTGCTAAATGCAGTATGCAGTTTAAGAAAGTGGTGATACTCATGTTAACTGATAAATTTATGTATACCAGATAGTAGACCAAGTACTTCATGTATTCCATCTTATTTAATCCTTACTACTTCCCTTCTTAGTATCCTTTTTACAAATAAGAACAGATTGGTCTGAGGCCAGAGTCTGAGGCAGAATAGGAGGAGAGTTACTTGCCAGGTCTAATCTCCATGTTTGATTAATGCCTTCACTTCTTTTGCTTTTAAAGCCAGTTCTGAGAAGAGGTAGAACAAGGTTAGAGTCAGACTTCCAGCAGGGGGCCTTTATATATTCTCCAGAATCCATGAATTTAGCACTTACACCTCCTTTGGCGTATATAGTGAGTAATAGTACCCAAATGTTCTTCTTTGGGATCTCAATAACTTTCATAAGATCACACAAGGATGATTATCCAGTTATACCATTTCTTGAGTGGCATTTATGATAAACTCTTAAAGATATGTTGTTTCTGTTTATTTAACTTAGTATGAATATCTTTGAAGGTTTTTTTGGGGGGGTTTTTTGTTTTGTTTTGTCTTAACTATTGAGGAGCAATTAAGTTAGCATAGTGATTAAGAGCAAGTTCTATAGCTACAATGCCTTAATTTATTTTCCTACTTTGCCTCTCCTATGCCAGTTCCTTAAGCTTTCTGTGCCTTAGTTTCCTCATTTATAAAAATAGAAAAATAGTGTTTACTTCATAGAGGATCGTTATGAACATAAAATGAACCAATATATGTTGAGTGCTTAGTAAAGAGCAGAGCCCGGCACACCATAAGAGCTACATGTGTATAATGATACGTAACAGTAAATCTAAGGATACTGGTGGTGGTTTAGTCACTAAGTCGTGTCCGACTCTTGTGAGCCCATGCACTGTAGCCCGCCAGGCCCTTCTGTCCATGGAATTCTCCAGACAAGAATGCTGGAGTGGGTTGCTATTTCCTGCTCCAGGGGATCTTCCCAACCCAGCAATTGAACCCAGGTCTCCTGCATTGCAGTCAGATTGTTTACCAGCTGAGCTATAAGGAAAGTACCAAATCTAAGGATACATTCTATTAATTGATAGCAAATAATAATGTCTGTTCTGCTGTAACTTATATTCAGGTGCCAGATTGTATTAATGAATTGGGTCCACTGTAGAAATTTCTTCTTGATATATATTTCTTGTGAGAACTAGATCTCCAGAGTATAAGCAGTATTTATCAATGATGCTTAATCCCAAGAAAAAGGTCTGATACTTGGTGCTTTCTTTGTCATAATTTTTTAGGTATCTGATGTGTAGCCATGCAGAAGACCTACGTGCAAAAGCAGAATGGGAAGGCAAAGGAACAGCTTCCCGATCCAAACTGCTGGACAAACTTCAGAGTGAGCATCTTCATCTTTGATGTTTCTGTATGTTCTCTTAGAAAGGATACTATGAATCCATTAGCAAAACTTACATCTAGACATACTCTTATCAAGTAGTTATATAGGAGGAATGAGCGGGGACATCCATTAGGACGCCCTTTAAACCAGAGGCTTCCAAATCCACCATGGAGTCAAGCTAAACCTCAGGAGTCAGTGAGTGGATGCTGGTCCCAGAGCTTGTCTCCTTCCATTTCTTTTATGTAGTGATGCTCCCCTTAAGATTTTGTCTGGGGGAGAAGTACTGTGGTTAGAGAAAAAACATGGAAACCACAGCTTTAAGCCACAAGTGTTTTAGATAGAAGCAGACCTCATTGTGCTTCACAGATACTGCATTTTTTTATAAATTGAAGGTTTGTGGCAACCCTGAGTTGTCAAATTATGGTTAGCATTTTTTAGTAATAAAGTGTTTTTTAATTAAAGCTTGTATAGTTTTTTAGACATAATGCTGTTGCACATTTAATACACTACAGTATAGTATAACCACAACTTTTATATGCACTGGGAAACCAAAAACGTTTCTGTAGCTCACTTTATCGTGATGTTCGCTTTATTTCAGTGATATAGAACTGAACCCTCAAAACCTCTGAGGTGTGCCTATTTTTTTTGATTTCAAGCGCAAAGCACCAGTTTCCTTTGGTAAATTGTTTTACCTTCCCTCCAGATATCTTTATATAACTTCCAAATTACAGCAGACATTTCCTTTTTGCCACATCTTTATAGTAAAAAACTCTTTCCCTCTTTAGTTAAACCATATCCTATGTTTTCATATTGAAGTGAGAGTGGAGATACTTCAGAATCAGAAAACCATGTTGTGGAGGGATAAGGCATTAAAGGATTGAAATAGATTGGTATCGATAATAAAAACACCAGTTATTCCCTGCATTTTCACAGTACCTTGGCATTAGATGCAATTTGATGAAACCTGGAACTTGAGCTCTTCCTCCATTTTGGTTTGCTCCTTGTTAAGTGGAGATTTTTCTTATACTTTTAGTGATGCTTCGTCTACCTGTGGGACACAAATATCTTTAGATTTTATTTTCATCATCACTACCTTTTCATTTTCTGTCGAATTTTTGTTTTTGTTATGTTTTTGTTGTTGTTATAGGAAATTCACTTGCAAATTAAAGCTCTCCTACCCAAGTGTATTCATTCTAGTGACAGCGTAGCTGTAGTTGCTGACAGATACTCATAAAGCTTACATGTTACTTCATTGCACCCAGAACTGCTTTATTTAAAGGTCGGGACACCACGCAGGTAGGGGCAGGCACAATAGAAGATGAGTCAGATGTCCTAAGTAAAAGTAAACTGTTCTGTTTGGGGTTTTAATTTTAATTTTTATTTCTCTTTTTAAAAATATCTTCTATTAAAGCCTATTTACCACCATCAGTGATGCTTCCCCCACGGCGTTTACAGACTCTCCTGCGGCAGGCGGTGGAACTACAAAGGGATCGGTGCCTCTATCACAATACCAAACTTGATAGTAATCTAGATTCTGTGTCTCTGCTTATAGATCATGTTTGTAGTAGGTAAGAGGAAAATGTTTTATATTTTAAAGTAGGCTAACATTTTACAAACTCACGAAATTTATTAAAATGTTAGGATTTTGTTTTAAGAGTTTTATCCTGTCACCATAAAGCAATTCATGTTTGCTTTAGCATTTACAAATACAGCTAGAACCACTGAAGTTGACAATTAAGAGAAATTTGTATATGTTTGTATAGGAAATTACTCTTTGCAAACTGAAGCTGGTTGGCCTGTTTGTTCCTTTACTTATCTGTGGGTTTGGTTGGTCATTTTTTGTATCTGGCCTTTTTTTTTTTAAAGAAATTGTAAGTGATCCTGTGTGAGAATGCCAGTGACCCAAGCCTTTGTTGTCTTTGGATGCCAGAGACTACTTAGTTATTACCCTCCCCAATCCCCACCCCCACCCCCCGCATGCCCCCTCCCCATCCACCCCCTCCCAGACATTATGATTATTTTAACTGTGGCCCAAATTATTTTATGCTCATGAAGATCATGGAAGTACCTTTCATAATGGAAGCTCTGCTTTTTAGTTGAAGGTAACCTTTGACTAGAAATACTTGTAATAACAGGTATTAATTCTCTGGTTTGGGTTTTGTTGTCATAACCTATGCATCTGCATAGTTTAACTTATAAGAATTCAGGCTTCACTTTTGATGTTAGGATTATTTTGAGTATAAAAGTCCCTATCATTTTAATAATTATCTCCAAAATTTCAGCAGAGCTTTCATTTTTAAGATACTGAAAAACAAGATATGAAATCTTTCAAACTCCAGAAGGAAATTATTTGGGTCTAGTGATCCAGACATGACAGCTGCAATGCACATGCTCTATTTCTTTTGTCAAAGATCCTTGGAGAACTATTGAAAATAACATGACTAGGAAGAATAAGAGTGTATATGTGTGAGAGCTTCGGGAAAATGAGGAATTTCTGAATAATCATAAAACATATATATGTGCCCATATACACTGTGATTTAAGATAATCTTTACTTGCTCATAAACTACTTTCATATATAGTTGATTTCTCACTTCACCGTCCCCCATTGCAATTTAAAAAATAGTAATAATTGAACTATTGTAAACTATTGGATAATTACTTGGTGCACTTAAAGGAAGTGATTAGAGATCCTTTTCATTTATCCCTTGTTACTCCTTAACATTGCTTTTTTATTTGCTTATGAGAATTTTTAAGTCTTCTCATTTCAGTTGAACAGAGGTAGGAGGAGAAGATAGATTAGAAGACTATATGGTTTCATATTTTATAGCTCCTTTGAAAATTTGAGATCAGTGTTAAAATTAAGGCAATTGTGAACCCGAATTTTTTTTTGGTATGTGAATTTATTGCTGGTGGTATACATTGAAAGGTATATATGGTAGACTTTATGGTTCAAGAGGTTTCAGTAAGTTGAGAGCTTGCCTTCCTGTTTGGAAACTGAGGTGTATGAGAACATGACATCCATTTTTCTTAAGTTCTTTAATTTCTATGCCAGTATCTGTGAAAGTAAATGACGGACAATATTTATTTAGTCTGACTTTTCCTAACCCTCAGATCAGGGATCAGGCTCCTACAAACCTGCATAGAAAGCACTCTGTTTACATAGGAATGAAAGAGTTCTTGCTCCTCAGAAATAACCATTGATGATTGGAGGTCTTCCTAGTTGTCACTGCGCACCCACCCCCCCACCCACTGCAGTACCTCCACTTTAAAGCCAACTTAAAATAGTTGCCTACTATACATTCACAATACCTTCCTTACTACTTCTTCACTGTTCAGATTTCTGTAGTACTAGGGTTTATGCAGTCAGCACAACACCAGAACTTTTTTTCTCCTGATCTGCATTGAAGAGATTTTATTAGATTATATATATTTATATTTTTCACAATTAGTGCATTTATATATTTCTTGGTTAAATTTGAACAGTAAAGTACAGGATTTTTTTTTTTTTTTAATCTGTAGAAGTTTTTTTTGTGTGTGGGTTTTTTTCCCACCAACAATCAATGGAAGGATGTTTCCACAGATAGCTTTTTATTTTTATAAGTATTAGTTTTTAGTAAAGGATCATAAAATATTTATAGAGTGTTAAGGTATTTAGCTTGATTTAAATGCTACTTTTTTCAGTTTGATTTAGGAAGATCCTTATATTTTTAACAAGTTTTAAATTTATTTGAAAACAAAGATAGACTATCATTTTAATACCCTAAAGTTAGCCTTTTAATAAACTAAGGGCTTAATTACTAGTCTTTTTAGAAGGTTAAGTAATAATAAAATAGTGACTATTTGAGTGCCACTTTGGTGTTCCCATACAAAGGGGGGCTTCCCTGGTGGCTCAGTGGTAAAGAATCCATCTGCCAGTACAGGAGATGCAGGTTCAATCCCTGGGTCAGGAAGACGCCCCCCTGGAGAAAGAAATGGCAACTCACTCCAGTGTTCCTGCTTGGGAAATCCCATGGACAGAAGAGCCTGGCAGGCTACAATCCATAGGATCACAAGAGAGTCGGACACGAGTTAGCAGCCTAAAACAACATTTTTTAAAATGGACTTAAGAGTTTACCCATTAATGTTTAAGTAACTTTTACAGTACAGATCTGTATTGTCCTAACAGTAGCCACTGATTACATTTAAATTTAAATGAAAAATAATTCAAGTTAAATTAAGTGAAAAAAATCTTAAGTTTCACAAATATGCTAGCCACCTTTCAAGTGCTCAGTAGACACATACAGCTAGGGTTATCAGATTGTATTGTGCAGGTATATAACGTTGGAATTATCACAGGAAGCTCTATTGAACGGTGCTGATAAACTGGAAAAGGATAGAATGGTTTTTAAAAGTGAATACTTAATGAGAATAGTCTTAACTTTTTTCTCTTTAACAGTAAAGTTAATCATAGAATTCTGTCTTTAATATATAATAACTGCAACTTTATAAAGTACTAGCTAAACATCAGAGCCAGTTTAAATGCTTTACATTCATTGTCTCATCCTTTTTATTTCATCCTTGTATAAGGAATTCTATAAAGTACTCTTGTCTTTAGGTTATGGTTGGATATATTGAGATTTAGAGAGATTAGGTTTCTTAGAATCACAGTAAGTAGCCAGGATATGAACTTGAGTCTCTCAGACTCTTCTGCCCCCGTTCTTAAGACTTTGACCACTACGGCATCTACCATATATTGCACTTCTCTTGTGCTGTCCCCAAAGTAATACTAGCAGTCCACTTTTGAATGGCTGTTGCATTCCAGGAATTTTTTATGTATTTCTCATCCTTATAGGAACCCTAAGAACCTTGGTAGATTCATCTCATTTTATAGATGAGAGAGCTGAGACTTAGGAGTTAAATGGCTTGGCAGAGACACCAAAGCTTGTAACCCCAAATTCTCTGCAGTGCCTATTCTGTTTGTCACACCAACTTGCTTTTAAATCAGTGAAAATGTACATTATTTCTTCTAGAACAGCCTGATCCCAGCCACTTAACACAGACAAACATGAAGACCTGGTTAATTTTTATTTATATGAATTGACTTAATCTGAGCAAAAAATGTTTCATTGGGTTTTTTTAACATTTTCATTATTATTACTCTTAGTTGATTTTAAGAGTAATTATTTGTGGATTTGTTTGTTTTAGGAGGCAGTTCCCATGTTATACTCAGCAGATACTTACGGAGCATTGTAATGAAGTATGGTTCTGTAAATTCTCTAACGATGGCACTAAATTAGCAACAGGATCAAAAGATACGACAGTTATCATATGGCAAGTTGATCCGGTATGTACTCTAATATGAATGTTTAGATTACAAAAAGAGGTAATTTTTCATCTAATTAAGTACATAATTTTAAAGTATGCATATATAAATGGCATTCTTTTCCAAGAGCATTTTTTGTCATCTTCGTCATGTCTTACCTCTTTCTGTGTTGTTTAAATAATACATAGAGATTAATATGATCAGAATTGTTGAGTGTTACAGGCTAGGATTATACTAGTCTGTGTGTACATTATGTAATTTCATCCTCTGATTAACTCTCTTGAGATACTAATATCTCCTGTTTTCAGATGAGGAAACCAAGGTAAAAGTTAAACACCCAGGCTCTCACAGTTTGTAAATGGCAGAGTTAGACTTAAATCCAGGGATATTTTTACTCTAGACCTACTGCTCGTCAATGTCCCAGCCAGTTGGCTATCTTTGTTAGTATTTGATTTACAGATTAATGCAGTAACCATTCTGACATGGGTTAGAAAAGACTCATTTACCATTTTGCCTTCCAAAACGCTTCATTAGCTTCTGTAATTTGTGGAACTTCTGTTAAACATTTCCCCACACACACATTTCTTTCCCCCCAGTGATATGTACGAGAAGTATTATATTCTGGATTTAAAATTTTAAGTTCCCTCAAAAATCAAAATTGTCTTTCTTTATAATCAGGTGACCTACAGATTTGTATTTCCATTTCTTTCAGCCAAGCAATTAAGAAGGTACATGACTCCAAATAGGTTAAGATGTATTTGGTTTAGGAGTCATTCACCTAAAATCAAAAAGTATAAATAATCTTATTGAGAAAGGGGGCCATAGAAGGAAATATTTTATAAAGAGTAGAGTCAGTTTGAGAGCATACGTCAATTTTTGTGTACCTGCAGTATGCTCTAAATGAAGAAAGATAAACGAGATCTACTCTGCCTTAAAGCAGGCATTTTTTTTCCTTTAATTGTACCATGTACTCCTCTGGCAGTCTGAACCCTATGGACCCACTCCTCGGAATAATATTTTTAAATGCATAATCCAAAGCACTTAGGAAGCCCAAGTATATATCATAAAGATAAACCCAATTATATTGAAATATAATTATCAAAATAGTACAAAAAGATACAGTATAGTAATATGTTACTTTTTTATAAGTATAGTAACAGATTCTAGTAGCAGATCTGATAACTTCAAGAATTTTGAAGTAGTGACAAGCATAAAATTTTGAGATATCCAAAGCTATAATATGTGAAAATATTTAAAATTTCCATTATTAACAGTCACCTAATACCACCCAATGCTGCCTTGTTAATTGCCTGTATTCAGGAGTGAAGGAAATACTGAATATCAGTGTGGTTAGTGAAAATAAAGAAGTGCATTTTCAAGTACAAGAACTGCTATTTAGTAAGCAAATAGGATGAGTAAGGCAAAACATGGGAAATGTGACTAGAAAAATAGGTTGGGATCCATCATAACCTTATCACTGGAAGGACTGATGTTGAAGCTGAAACTCCAGTATTTTGGCCACCTGATGCAAAGAGCTGACTCATTTGAAAAGACCCTGATGTTGGGAAAGATTGAAGGCAGGAGGACGACAGAGGATGAGATGGTTAGATGGCGTCACCAACTCAATGGACATGAGTTTGAGTAAACTCCAGGAGTTGGTGATGGACAGGGAGGCCTGGCGTGCTGCAGTTCATGGGGTCGCAAGGAGTCGGACATGACTGAGTGACTGAACTGAACTATGATAAGAAGTATTTTCATTCTGTAGTTATTTACAACATGTCTGAAAAGAAAGCAACCGTATCAAAACTTCTTTATTACATATATTCTTCTAGCAGTAGTGTATGAGTCCCTTTTGTTTAGCGAGTATTTATTGAGCACCTGCTGTGTGCTTGACCTTTTTGATAGAAGTCAGACTGGGCTCCTGATAATACATGTAAATATTCTTAGTGAATGCTACAGGAACTCAAAAAAGAGATCCTATTGGAATTGGAAAGCAAGGGAAAGTATGACAAGTAAGCCTGAGATGAAGGAGAATTGTATTATTTAGGCAAGACGTTATAGCTGGCCCTCAGGTGAAAGATAACGTGACTGGGCAGTTTGGGTGAAGACTCTGTAGACTAGGAGATGAGGTTCATGAAGTAAGTAGCAAACAGATCAAGGAGGATCTTCTATACTTTGCCAAAGAGTTCTGACTTTTATGCCAGTGTTTCCCAAAGTGTTTTTATGAGAATACTGGTTATGTAAAATGTTAACAGTGGTTACATGTAAAGGGCTTTTGTGTCCAGATTAGCTTGGGAAATGCAGAGTCAGTGCTTACATTTAAATCTGAGATACAGTGTGATTTAGAGTTTGGTATCATGGTATTTTTCTATGTCAAATACTATTTGAAAAACTTGTTAAGAAAATCAGTTCTGTTTTTGAATGTATATTTTTAGTGGATAGAAAGAATATATAGAGAGTACCTTAATATTTGAATTGATGTTATTCCAGTGATTAGTTTCTTTTAACAGGTTTTTTTACCTTTTTTCCCAATAAAGAACTTTACCCATTCCCCTCCTCAGAATCCAAGCAAAATTAAGTGGATTGCATGAATGTGATATTACCATTTGGAATAGGTTACTCTTTATAAAGACATTGTACTTCTGAAGATATAATATTAATATTCTCATTTGTTTTCAACTTTTCACATCTTTCTTTTTTTTAATTAATGTGCGTGAAATTGTTAGGTTTTTAGTTAAATACTTCTATAGTAGTTTGTCATTAGTTTAGAAGCAAATCTTTGTGTACATCTAAAACACCACTATGAATGAAAATTTGTTCCTAGAAGATACTGGGCTAGTCCAAAAGACTTGACTTGCTTATTAAATTATGCAGGCTACTTTGACCTAATGATACTATGATCTAATACCCCAGGCCTGTTAGCATCTTCCCAAAGAAGAGTCAGAAGTAATGGCTTTGTAAACTTGAACTTTCAGAACAAATTCCCAATCTAGTTTTATCAGACCAGTTCCAGACCCATTTCTAACTGCTGTAGGTCACCACCATTGGAATTTCCATCAGCATTGGAATTAACCAAAACTGGTCTCCATTAGTCTAGTCTTCCCAAATTCTGCTTCCTTCACACTGTTTACGTTCATCTTTATTCCCTAAAACAGAAATTTAGAGACAGTCTTTCAACATTTTTTGTCTCATCCTGTCATGTCAGTTTTATGTCCCACAACCTCTTTCAGTCCTGACCATGTTAGTTTAAGGCCCATTTCTTGTCTTAACTATGTGGCTGTTGTGCTGGCTCATTAAGAGTGTCCTTACTCTGCGTCTCTCTTTGTTCTGATTCTTCTTCCACACTGTTAATGAATTCTCATCCTGAAGCCAAGTATATTGTATATTCCCAAGCTTAAAAATCATAAGTGGTTCTTCACTTGCAGGATAAGATTTAGCCCTTTAGTCTAAAATAAAGATGTCAATTTTTCCAGTCTTTTCATTTGCCACTTCCATGTTTGCAGTTTATATATTTCACCCTATATAGCTTTAGAGTCAGGCACCTCAGGTTCAAATCCCTGGTAATAATATCAATAAAAGCAAGTTGTTTCTAACCTTTCTCAATCTTCATGTCCTTTCCTATAATATGGGGGAGGAGAATAATTCTTAACCTTTTAGATTTATGAGATTTAAATGAGATTGATTGTGAATAGTGCTAATACTGATTAGCACCAAATAAGTGGTAGCTCTCCTGGTGGGAATGTAAAATGGTTTAAACACTTAAGAAAGAGTTTGGCAGCTCCTCACATTGTTAAGCACAGAATTGGCATATGACCTAGCAATTCTACTCCCACACATATACCCAAAAGAAATAAAGACATGGGTCTGTGCAGAAACTCATATATTTGTAGCAGCAGCATTCATAATAGCCAAAAAGTGGAAGCAATCCAAATGTTGCTTAATATGGTATAGGCATAAAATGGAATACTATTCAACAATTAAAAGGAATAAAATACTGATATATTCCACAACAGGAATGAACCGTGAAAACGTCATGCTAAGTGAAAGAAGCCAATTACAAAAGACTGACATGCTGTATAATTTCGTTTATATGAAATGTCCATAACAGACAAATCCATGGAGAAAGTAGCAGTTGCCAGTGCTGGAGGAAGGGAGAATAGGGAATAACTGCCACTTAGTATGGAGGTTCTTTTTGGTGTGATGAAAATGTTCTCAGGTTAGATAGTAGTGATGGTTGCACAATCTCTGAATATACTAAAAGCCACCAAATCATATACTTTAAAAGGGATGAATTTTATGCTAAGATACTCATTAAAACTGTTTTTAAAAGGAGGGTATAGCTTTTAATATACCTGTTTTAAGTTTCCTTTAAAGTTTCTTAAGTACAAAGTCTGTGTCATCTTTATTTCCATCTAGCATTCAGTGCCCTTATGTGTAGTAGATGCTTAACGGATGTTGCAGCATGAATGAGTCTTTATGAAGCAAGTTAGAGGTTCTCTTAGGGGCAGGGAATTGGCAAAATCTGTGAAAATGTCCTCAGATTAAACTATATTATCAAAGCGCATCTTTGTAACTATTTAAGTTCTTATGCCCAAAAAACAGTGACCTTAGAAATGAGAGTTAACTAAGTTGTCTGTTTTCCCTCCTAGGATACACACCTGTTAAAACTGCTTAAAACATTAGAAGGACATGCTTACGGCGTTTCTTATATTGCATGGAGTCCTGATGACAACTATCTTGTTGCCTGTGGCCCAGATGACTGCTCTGAGCTTTGGCTTTGGAATGTACAAGTGAGCAAATTTCATCCTTGGTTTAGTCTTTATAAAGTATAATCGTACTACACATCTTCATTATAACTTTATTCATGATCTGTAGAACCAAATCATTCAACCTAAATTCCCATGATATATTTCTTACAAAAGATAGTTAATTCATCAGATAGAACCCAGGTGTCCAGATTTATAAATTTAAATATTTTGTTGAGCATAATAGCATTTCTGAAAGAATGATCAGTAGGTATTTTTAGGGATGTTGTACTTTGTAGTGTGTAATATGTACTATTTTACTGTGATACTTTGTACCTCAATAAAGATTTTACAGTTGTTTTATAGTTGCACAGTTTTATACAAAACTTACTTTTCAAGTGTGAAAACATCCGAGGCATGACACCAAATTTTCCATTCCAGTGGCAACTGCACCATTTCCTTACCTATATTTAATGTTACAATCTCATTTAGTAGATTTAAATGATGTTTACAGTACTTACTATCAAGAGTTTTATTATAGTTTCTAAATGAAAACTTAAACACTTTATCTAGGGTTCCATTTTAGAAAAACTCAGCACTGAGTTCACTCTATCATCTGTTGGCTCTATTTTGGAAACCTTCTAGTTAATCATTTAAAATTATTTTTTAAGTTTCTTCCACAAGCTGACTGGTTAGATGATTTTTTTTTTTTTAAACTTCTCGGCAGGGGAATAGTTCAGGCTACAGTTTGGGTGTATAAGTATAAGCTGATGGGATATGGTTTTGAGTTTGGGGACCCATGTGTAAGTTGATTTTTATCAAGAGTAAAGATAAAAGCTCCGTAGAAATGACTCAATAAGATGGTATAGAAGACAGATGAATACTAAGATGTACCTGAAGATGATGTGCCATAAATCTAATTCTACAGTATGATTTATATTTCAACCCAGTTTCTTTATTAAGAAAATTTTGAAATATTGAGAAAGGTTGAAATATGAATATAGGATGATCTGTATCCATGCCACCATAGATTCAGCAGATGATGTTATTAACATTTTGTGTGTATATACATGCATGCATACAAACATACATATTTATATATCCATACCCAAAACATCTGGAAGTAAATTAAGATGATATTCTACCACTAAGTATTTAAACATGTATGTCCCTAACAGTAATTTTCTCCTACATAATCAAATGCCATTGTCTTACCTATAATTCTCTAATTATTTTAGCTATAATTCTTTAATATTCATGTTGTAATTTTAAAATTCCCAGTTGTTCCCAAAATGTGTCTAGGCCTTTTTTATCAAACTAGGGTTGAATCAGTGTTGTATTTGTAATTGGGCTCAGGGTGGCAAGGCACAGAGTAGATCAGATGGCTTCTCAAACAAGCTTAAAAGGAATCTGACCTAAAAGACAATTTCCGCCCCCTCAAAGGGAGGAGAAGTACATGGTCATAGTCACACAACAGAGAGTCAGCCTGTGTAGTCTTCTTTAAATTCAATTTTGAATTTCTGGACAGTTAAACTATGTTCTAGCTTAACTGTTTTACTGTGTGTTATGTTATAGACTTGTTCTAAAAGGGTGGTCTTTTAAGTCAGTTTTCAAAGTTGCTCCTTTGAGTTTTTATGTAGATTCCTAATTACAGGTTTCCCCTGCTATCTGAAAGTAATTATTCCTGTGAAATTTTTCATAAGCTGCAATGGCATAAAGAAGCAGTTACCTTAGGTCACATCTTACTGAATGAAGCATAAAATAAGTCACGGTAAAGTACAGGTGCTCACGTGGCTCAGAGCCGAGGCAGCTTGGTGCTGAGCTGCTGAGTGTAGTTCCTGGGAAGGGGCCACTCGCACGCTTCAGAGTGCATGCTGCCTCTGTGACAACTCCCTGCGAAACATGGAACACTGTTTGCACTTTCCACAGACACTTTTCGTAAAAGCAGACATCCTCTTCAGATGTCTTTTGGTTGGCAAAAACAGGTACTAATATAAATCTTTGTAAAAGCCAAGTGGTACAAGGCAAACTTTGAAAAAGCTGGGGATACCTGTAATGGCTTCATACTCAAAACAGTCCTGAGCATAACAGAGGAAAAGACCATTTCTGCCTTCAGAACTTACTGTAAATAGAAAATGGTGAAGATTCAGCTGTAGCATGTGTATTTGTGTTTCTAAACTGCACAGTCGCAGAAGATCGTGACTTGAGAATAGTTAACACTATGGGGGAAGGGTTTAAGATTGCTGATATTTTTTTTCTTTTTCAATGTAAGGAAGACATTCTGGTTTTTGTGCCCTCTTTGCTTTTATTACTTGGCCCCATTTCCTGATCATGCACCTTTTTTTTTTTTTTTAATTTGATTACCCATTTCTCAGAGGAAAATTATGCCCATGTACTTTTTATTATCCCAAGGGAAGCTCTAATCTCTCAGATCCTGTTTCTAATCCATGAACAAAATGGAATCAAGACTAGATTAACTGGTATGTGTCTACCTTCTAAGTTGAATAATTTAGAAAAAATAAGAGGAGGATGTCTGAGGGTTGTAACCAACTAAATAGTCTTCCTTAGTTGGGAAAGTTGGGAATGCTTTAAAATGAGTACGCTAAACAGTGCAGATGTCCTTCACTCTTTTCTGTTACTTTTAATTGAAATAAAGTTGTATATCATAAAAATAATTTTTGTTTTCCCATTTTCCCTTCTACATTTTGAGCATATCAGATATGAAATTAACATAATTTAGACTGCCTACACTCTTGGCCTAGTTTAAGGGCATAGTTTTTCTGCCTATTAATCATGTTCTTAAGGAGTTGCTAATTGCATGAACTACAATTTTAGAATAAAATAAAGAACTGTGAACTAAGGAGAAGTGAGAACTCAGAAGAAATAGGTATGTCGTGCTGGGCTTTTCATCGTTGTACTTGGGGAAAATTACTTGTTTTAATTTATGCATGTAATTGATTTAAGACTAGAGTTCTGTTTGAAGTTTATCTCGTAGCTATTCTTTGAATCACCTATGCCAGGCTTTGACTCCTGAGTTTTTTTCAAGTACTTAATTTCTCTTTTGAATGCTATAGTATTGTTCTATAAGGCCAATTTAAACAGCTTACTTCACTAATTAGGAGTATTAAACTAACCAGATATCCCAGTTACTATCCTTTTTCTGTTTTTTCTTTATACATTCCCTTTAGAGGAGTATCTTGAAGATCTCATCCACAGTTTTATTTCCTTGTAGACGGGAGAGCTAAGGACAAAAATGAGCCAATCTCATGAAGACAGTTTAACAAGTGTGGCTTGGAATCCAGATGGGAAACGCTTTGTGACCGGAGGTCAGCGTGGGCAGTTCTATCAGTGTGTGAGTATTTAGTGCCCTACTTCAGATGCCTGCAAATTTACTTAAAAGCAAATTTAGCTTTGTAAAAATAAAGAATTCACTTGACTTGATAACTTATAAAATATATGAAAACCCACTAGACTGTCTTAAGATAAACATTGTCCAATAGAACTTTCTGTGGAATCTTTTTCTTTTTTAAAAAAAACATTTCAAGTGCTTATATGAAGTATAGGCTTTGAATTTAGTGAAACATTAAAAAAAAAATTGTCCTACTAAACATTTTGTTCTTATAAATAAGTTTCTTATGTATAGGACAAAAAGGTTTAGTATTTAATTTCTTTGGTGGGGAGGTCTTTAGCCCTTTGGATTTTTTGTATCTCCCTCGGCCTTCCTCCCCCTACCTGTCCCTCCCCGCCACCTCCTCGAAAAATGCTGTATTTCATGAGGAGACTGACTTTAAAATTTTGAGGAATAAAAGTGGTGATGAATGTTGCCAGGAAAATTTCCAGTCTTTATTTGAGGTGTCTTCTGATCATTACCTCCTCTATTAATCTTGGAGTGTTGGGATAATAAAAGTAAGTAATAGGTAAAAAGTCTTATGACAAAGTAGACTATGATACACATGCAGTGTCATTACTCTCTATTATCTAGATTTCATGTCTCATATCACTACCTAGCATGGTTCCAGTAGGTCCTTCTAGATTTATTTAAGACTAAAGTTAAATATCATAACCCCATCAAATCATTCAGTGTAGGTCATTTATCATAAAGACTTTTATGTCGCCATTACAAATTATCAGTTTCATTAAGCTCACTGCAAGACTCATGGAATCTAGTGTGCTATTTTCTCAGCATGGTTGTAAGTCATTTAATTTTTCCCCAGTTGTCCCAATACAGTTTATTGATAACACCCTTGATTTTCTTTAAGTTATTTTAAGTGGTCAGTACGATTATAATATACTAATTTAAACATTTTATGTCTGGACTTTGTCTCCATGGGCTAATGCTATACTTTCACTGATTGATTGATATAATTGACATATATTGTTACATTAGTTTCAGGTGTATGACATAATATGATTCAGTATTTGTATGTATTACAGAATGAGTTCCACAATAAGTCTTGTTAACAAACATCACCATACATAGTTACAAAAAAATTTTTTTCTTATGAGGATTTGTAAGATTTACTTTATTAGCAGCTTTCACATATGCAATACAGTATTATTAACTGTAGTCACCATACTGTACATTTTGGCATTTAAGCCATTAGTTCTTAATTCCCTGGATTCAAGGTGGCCTTGTGTGTTTCTCCTGACTTTGCCGTCCCTTACAGTGTTTAATCCTTCTGGGTACATGACTTGGTAGTTCCCTAACCTATAAAAATAGAATTGCCACTTAGAGCATTGAACGTTCAGGAAGATAATGATCCTAAGAGCTTTACTCGGTAGAGCATGTTACAAATTTGGTGACTTTTTTTAAAACATCATGACAGATTCCTAAGTTTTATACAGCTATAATTCATGTTAGTTAGTTATCTTTTTACATATCACGACTTGTGAACATTATAGTACAAATCCCAGTATAGTGTATTTTAAAGGGATGTTTAAATTCTTTTCCAAAAATTGTGAGCCCTTGAAATTTAAGGATTCTTTCTTTGTATTTATTGTTTTTATCTATGCATGATAGAAGGGAAGATAGATTTACTAAGATTTTCCCCCTCCCCTTAGGTATTGTAAGGAAATTTGACCTATATAAATTTTGATGATTGAAAACACTTAAGGAACAACTAGGTTGAGATCAGTCTCAGGAAAAGATAAATATTACAAAAAGATATATTAAGAGATTCTTTTGGGGGGAAGAAAAAGATTCTTTTGGTTCTTTGTTTGCTTTCTGAGTGCTCTTCAGTAATGAAGTTAATAGTAGTTTTCTCCTCAGGATTTAGATGGTAATCTCCTTGACTCTTGGGAAGGAGTGAGAGTGCAATGCCTTTGGTGCTTGAGTGACGGGAAGACTGTTCTGGCATCAGACACACACCAGCGAATTCGGGGATATAACTTCGAGGACCTTACAGATAGGAACATGTAAATATACTTTATGTCCATTAAACAACAGTTATCTGATTTGTATTAAAAGTGTAGTAGAACTTGCTTCTTCAAAAGAAGAGGTTTTATTTTTATTATGTTTTTGGTTTGATCGGTAATTTGGGTGGATAGTCAAGTGGTGCTTAGTAATTATTAACTCAGATTCTTTTTCTTGATTGAAATATAATATGTAATAGTGATCACAGACTTAAATTTGTTATATTTAAATAATTTGAATGTCTTGATTCTTAGTATGTTGGTTTTGACAAACTATTTTTTGGTTATAGAGTACAAGAAGATCATCCCATTATGTCTTTTACTATTTCAAAGAATGGCCGATTAGCTTTGTTAAATGTAGCAACTCAGGTAAGTTTATTAATATAATTCTCAGGAAAATTTAGCTTAGTTAAAATTTGTGGGGTTTAGTATATATAAACATATTTTTATGAATTCTTAAATTTTACTTCGTGTGTTTGATCCATAAGTTTGTGGAGTCAACTGGAAATTTTGCAGGACATTGCCATTTTGCATAAATAGAAATTGGAAATGTTCATCAGGCAAATGCATAGTCACAGATTACTCTTCAAAATTCTTTTGTGTTAATAAATACCTATATTCTCTTTTGTTTACAGGGAGTTCATTTATGGGACTTGCAAGACAGAGTTTTAGTAAGAAAGTATCAAGGTGTTACACAAGGGTTTTATACGATTCATTCATGTTTTGGAGGCCATAATGAAGACTTCATCGCTAGTGGCAGTGAAGGTAAATCGTATCTCCGTTGATTCACAGATATATATTGATGGACTGAAAGTTCTATAATTCTCTCAATTGTGAAGGTAGTCATGTCTCCAAACAAATTCAAGATGAAATATCCAGCACACTGTTAATTTCCTTTTTCGTGGAATGGTTTGAGTCCTCCTCATTGTCACGGATCAGCAGTGCCTGTTGTGGCTGTGTGGAAGTGGGTTTGGTGCATGTGTCAAGTCAAGATTTGGTTAAATCATTACTCTTCTGTAGGTATTTTTCTTTTCGTGACACTTAACGGTTTTCAGATGTTAATAGTACCTTAGAAATCAAGGTTAATTATGTTTTACTTGATCTTGGACAAAATTGACTATAATTAGATCTTCAGTGGTTCTTTAATGACCAAAGAAAATAATTTAAATTTTCTTTGAGACTATGGGATTCTTATGGTCTCAGAAAAGCTCAAATTATGGAATTAACTACTACCTTTTAAAATAACTTACTCTGGTCTAATAACATCAGTATATCAGGCAGGCACATGCCTCAAGTAGTCTAATTTAAAACAAATTGTTTAAAATATGCAAGCACAGATAAGTGAGGCAGTATTAAAAGTTGCTGTACATTTTAAGATGATAAAAACAAATAATGGCAGATTATTTTCGAAATTTTCGTTCAACACATTTTCTTGAGTACCCACTTCGCTGTTGTAGTAATATAGCAGCAAATTACTTAAGTCATTTTTTAAAAACTGAATCTAGTTTTCCAAGATAGACCAAGGAACTGGATTATGTTGGTGAATACTTGGTAACATTCGGTTACTGTGTGAGATGTTTCTATTTTCCTTTTCTTGACCAAAAAATAAACTGATCTCAGTAGAGAAGATCACAAGGTGACACATGAGTTTTTCCTTTGTGTATAAGGTGTATTTAAAGATTGGGACAAAGAGACATTTAGAGATTTAGATTTTTCACATGAAGCATATGACTTCTTTCTTTTCTTTCCTCTAAAAAAGTCATTCAGATAAGATTAAGAAAAGAGACAGTGGCTTACTAGGTAACAATTGGGAGTTCACTTCTTTCCCTTCAAAAAATCTTTTTTATCTGTTAGTTTAATCATGTTATTTTCTTCTAGATTTTCCTTTTGTTTCTATTTGATATGATTTAAACATATTAAGCCTTCTACATGCTTTTTAGCTCCTCCTACTTGAAGATCCTTCCCCATGGGCTATTTAATCCTGCTCCTGGTGGGGTTTTTTACCCCTCTTAATTATGCCTCACAATCATGTGTGTGTGTGTGTCCAACTCTTTGCGACCCCATGGACCGTAGCATAGGTTGCCATTTCCTCCTCCAGGGGATCTTCCTGGCCCAAGGATAGAACCTACATCTATTATGTCTCCTGAATTGGCAGGTGGATCCTTTACCAACTGTGACAATCCCCTATACTCTTTCTAAAAATAATACATAGCATAGAAGTACTTTTAAAAAAATAGGTATTGCCACCATTATCCCTAATGATGCCATTTTTTTTTTTTTTTTGGCCCAAACTAACTTTAGAACTAGCCTTATGAACAATGTAATTAAGCCACATTACATTCTATTTAGGGCTAAAAATGAAACATAACTGTGAAGGAAAGAGATTAGGATTCTCATGACTCAGGTGGTTTAGAATGGCTCTAAAAATGTTTTCAACACCAAAGTGGTTATAGAAAATATGCTATCTCCCAGGATGTCCACAGTAATCCATTCATCGTTTATTTGTAAGAAATATATTCTAAGAACCTTCCAAACCCCCAAATACATGAATGTCAACATAAGATAGAGCAATAGGAAGCATTTCCCCCTAAAAGTTACTCCAAGGCCATTACTCAAGCCTTTCATTGTGCTGATAATAAAGAGAAAAACTTATTTTTCCCTCTATATAGGCACTGGATTCCTTAAACTGATAAAGTAAGCAGAACTTTATCAGAAGGCCTGTCATTCTGACCTTGACTGCTCAGATCTTTAATTTTTGCTGCATGTTCAATAAATATCCTCCTTGGATATGTGTTCACAAAAGCGTTTTTCATCCAAATGTAGGCAGATTTCAGTTGCATTCTCACTTTTCAAGAAAGCCTATAGTCTTTCTTTGTGGACTTGCTCTGTCCAAGGGGAAGCATAGCTAGTCTGGGCATTTTGTTTTTCCTTTTGTTAGTTTTATTTTATTCAAGAAAAATTATTTTCAAAAATGACTGAACTAACAAATACCTTCTAGGAAAGATAAATTCAGTACTTCAGTGAGTTCCTTTTAACTTTCACTTCCCATACACAAAAAAGTGTTCAACAGTGGTTCCAACTTTTTATCTTTGTAAGTTTTGAAACCAGGGCATGTTCTTTTACCACAAGTTTGTTACGTATTCACCACTGTAAAGTTTCCTCAGTAAGCAGCACATCTGCTGAAAGTTCCCACATTAATCATGTTAATTGAGTGACAGCTCTTCAGATGGGACACTTTTCTAACTCACCCTGGGGTTCTGCTGTCTGTTCAAGAACCATCACTTACATTTAGTTAACTCTTTATGGTAATACATGGTGTTTACTGTGTGTTAGACTCTGTTCAAAACATTTCTTCATATACAGACTTACTTTATCCTCATAACCTGATGAGGTAAGTATGACTCCCCATTTACAGAAGAAAAGTTGCAGCGAGTGGGAAGTGTGCCCAGTTACACAGCTGGTCAGGGACACAGGGAGGGTGTGAGCCAAGTAGTCTGACTCTGCAGCCCTTACTCTGAACCACTACTCTGTACTGGACAGTTGTTGTGTTTTGTTTTTGAAGATTAGTTTATCCAAAGAAACAAAGTTGTTGGGGTTTTTGGTTTTTATGGGCACTTGATGAGATTATAAATAGACTGCCACACAGTCATATTATGATACAGCTGTAGGACAGCTGTCTTGCCTCACAAGTAAACACGTGAGCAGGACTTCCGGATTTCAATCCCAGGTTCACCGTTTACCAGCTGTTAACCATGAGCAGATTGCTTACACTTGCAGTTCATCAGTTACCATCCATAAAAGGGATAAGCACCACCTCCTGACGGTGATGAAGATTAAATAACATAGTTACTTAGCACCTAGAACATTGTAAGCACTCAATATTTAGCTGTCATCTTAATTGCCATATTTGAATTTGGATACATTGCTTCTCTGTCACCTCTATTTCCATAGAATTTATCTCCATCCTAGATTTGTTTATATTCAGTGGTCTTGACTGTGATTACACATTATGTATTACAGAATATTGCAGATTCTGTGATGACTTGCAAGCTAGTCATTTTTAACAGGGGGAAAATGTGTATTTTATTAAAATTTAAATGGATTTTTCAAAAAATAATGTTAAATTATTCACATTTTTGTTGTCCTTTCAAGTCTGATAAGTTAAATGTTCTGTGTGTAATGAGCAGTAAATTTAAAATCAATCAATTTTGTTAATCTATTACACTTTGCCAACTTTTTTCTGAATTACTGTTACTCAGATCACAAGGTTTACATCTGGCACAAACGTAGTGAACTGCCAATTGCGGAGCTGACAGGGCACACACGTACAGTCAACTGCGTGAGCTGGAACCCGCAGATTCCATCCATGATGGCCAGCGCCTCAGATGACGGCACTGTTAGGATATGGGGACCAGCACCTTTTATAGACCACCAGAATATTGAAGGTACCATTGCACAGTATTCTCGTGTTTTCCCAAGTGAAACCTTGCCTACTTTATCATAATGTTGGAGCACTTTTAGGCAGTACTTTAAAGTGAAGGATGTTAATAGATTTTCTCCCTCATTTAAAGATTGTACACTGTATCTCACTCCACAGGAGTTTAATTCAGCTAATATGCAACAGTATTTTTTTGTTTGTTTTATTGATGACAGTGGTGAGAATAAGCAGGAATATACCACCTCATTTACAGGCAAGTTAGTATTTTATACTTCTGTGCTTATGAAAACTAGCTAGTATATGAAATTTGAACAACTTCAGAATGATCTTGCTTATGGTTTTACCCTCACAGATGAATATCTGTTAATACCATGTAGCATACTAGCATGAACTGTGCATGATGGATAGAGAAAGAGAATGGAACTAGAATTCATCATGTACCTATGTGCCTAGTAACCCGCTAGGCCCTTTATATACACTGTCTTGCATAACATCTTTATAGCCCTGCAAGAGAAATGGAGAAGTGTTTTTGTCCTCATTTTCAGTTTGTGAAAACTGAAGCATGGCAAGACTGATTAACTTGTAGAGTGCTACCAGGTCTTCAAATCTAAGTCTGAAAGGTGTTTTCCATTACTTTCAGATACCAGAAGCCCAAAGCCAAAAAGCTAACAGTTAAGGACATAGCTTAATTGAGCAAGATATGCTAGAAAGAGGAGATAATGAGAAATTTGATGTAAATGACTTACCTGTTCTTTTTTCAGAGCAGAAATATTTAGTTTGCTTAGAAGGAAATAATTTACCTAGAAACGGATAAACAGATTTTTTGGTTCACAGTGTGTCCCACCTAAGTGTTTTAGTAAGAAAGATGACCAACTGCTCTCAGTTATTCTCAGAGGAGGCGGGTTGTCAGTGTAGCCCAAATGGCTTAAAAGCATGTTCTCTGTGCTTTTATCTGTACCAGATCTCACCAGAAGGTGAGGATATACAGCCAAAGGGTAAAAAGCATGTAGAGTACACAGCTCAAAAAGTTTGAAAGCTACTCTTGAGTTACTCAGAACCTTCTAGGGCCTTTTTGTATTTGTAGATCACTACCTGACATGATTTCACTAACACACCTCTGGAATTAGCTAAAATAAAAAATCTTTTATTGATTTCCTGCTGTGTGTGTTGTCCCGTTTTAGGTTTCAAGGCCTACTCATAGTTACTTTAGAGATCTATAACTGAGATTATATGTGCTTTTCTAATTTTATTAGTTATTTTGGAAATTATTTCTTAAAATAAACATTTGATACAAAGAACTAGGAAAATACTAGGTATATAATAACAGATTTACCTTGTAAGTAGGTTTATTTTAGACATAGCTTTAAGGATATGTTTGTGCCTCCACTACAGTGAAATAAGTGTTGCAGTGCTATTTGGTAATTTAATTATTGTAGATACATATTATGGTAGGTGAGACAGACTTAGTCCAGTCGTAAGAACTGGGTCAAATTAAGTAGTTTTCAGTTGTGCTTTGCAAATGGGTATAGCACTATAAGATTTTCATTTATACCTACAATAAGAAGACTTCTTCTTTATAACTACTTAGTTACATGCCTTTTATTAATGTATCCTCTGAGGTTTTTTTCCCCTGCTCGAAAACATTTTTTCTAATTAATACCTTTTTGGAATAGACATTTGGGGAAAATGTAGATGAAGCTAAGGAAATGGCATTCCAAAACCATAAGTATCCTAAGATATACTATAAGTCATTTAACTAAAAATACTTAAGTTCCACAAAGAATTGCTGACCTTTTATTATAACAGTAACAATCCATACTGCATTTTTTTTTTGAGGACTGTATAAAATGGAATAGAATCAAGTACTCATACATGCTACAACATGAACTTTAAAAACAATATGCTATGAAAGAAGCCAGACACAAAAGAGTGCCTGCTGTGGTTCCATTTGTATGAAAGCATCCCAAAAGGCTAATCCGTAGAGAAAGCAGACTAGTGATTGCTTAGGATTGTTAATTGACTTCTAATGGTGATGAAGATGTTTTAAAATGTATTGCCTTGCTGGTTGTACAATCCTGTGTGAATATGCTAATAACTACTGAATTGTCCAGTTTAAACGGGTGCATTGTAGAGTATGTGAACTATATCAATAGAGCTGTTGACACATTGTCCTTCACACACACACACACACACACACACACACACACACACGAAGTAGGGTCATATTACAGAGTTTCAAACTGAGGCACTAAAAGAATTCAATATTGGATTGGGCAAAAAAGTTTATTTGGGTTTTTCTGTAAAATAGGGAAACTGAACAAAGTTTTTGGCCAACCCAGTACATAGTTAAAATGCAGTTTTACCTTGGACTGCCAGATGTTCTTTATTCTCTTCTAAAGTATAAGATTCCAACATCATGATTCACTTGGGTTCTCCAATATTCAAAATAATCATGGGTTTAGACTGTAATATGTAGCCTAGGATGTGATACACAGTTTTAATGATCATGATGAAAATACCAAGAATTTGCCTTGATGTGATTGTTTTTTAATGTTAAGATACTTTGTGATGTCATAATGCTGATTTCAAAACTTTCTAACTGGTAACTTTTTTCTCCCCCTCCCCTCTTCTTCTTTTCCGCCAATACACATTTCATCTTGTCTTCATTCAGAGGAATGCAGTAGCATGGATAGTTGATGGCGAATTTGGAGCAGACGACTTCTGTTTAACTTAAAATTAGTCGTATTTTAATGGCTTGGGATTTGGTGCAAACAAACATGATTGATAGCTGGACTGACATGCTCGTCATGAAAAAAGAACCATTTCTGAAGCCCGATTGGGGCCAAACATTTACACCTTGCTTCATAGTAACCAGTTGAGATGAAGCACGTCGTTAGAACGTTGTTGGACACCATGTTGAATTATCCCCCCATCGGTTGTGAAGAACTGTGCTACATTCAGGCTTACCCATTGAACTCAGTATATATATTTTTTTCCCTCCTGCCTTTTGTCTGGCAGGATACCATTCTTGTTGCTCTTCTGTGTAATGAAGTTTAAATGCTTGTTTGGAAAACTTTATTTAACAGTTTAGAAGGCTTGATAGAAAGAGTGCATTAGTCTGAAGAGTATACATTGGATAGGAAAGAATTTCCTTCTTTTGTTTCTCCAAATCTTTCCGCCTTATTTAGCTTGAGATCTTTGCAGCTTGGTTCATGGATTCTAGCCTTGCCCGTTGCGCAGTATATACTGATCCAGATGATAAACCAGTGAACTATGTCAAAAGCACTCTCAATATTACATTTGACAAAAAGTTTTGTACTTTTCACATAGCTTGTTGCCCCGTAAAAGGGTTAACAGCACAATTTTTTAAAAATAAATTAAGAAGTATTTATAGGATTAAAGTGACTTCATTTGTATACATTTGGAATCTAAACCAGCTAAAAAAGAGTTTCCTCTATGACTTAGATACACAGTATAAACTGATGCTCTTCTGGAATACCACATAAGACATGGTCAGAAACAGTACTTGCAAGGACATTATACAGAAAATTCAGAGTAGTGCTTTGAAGATTTCCCCCCTTTTGTTTTATTCCTGAAGGAACATCAGTACCTGATCTTGAAGAAATTCAAGACTCAAAAAGAGAATTTTAAATTTGTACCAACATGAGAGATCAGTAGTCCATATATAAGTTTTCAACAAATTTTCTTCCAAGTTCTCAATTTGGGGAATCATTTTGGTGTCATCTAGCAAGAGTAGAAATCAGCAGATATAACCACTTTGGAAGTTTATAGTATAATTGAGCTTGTTAGAAGAATTCAGCAGGTTAGAAACATACTTAAACTGGGTTTAAAACCTCATAATCATTTATCTAATTGCCCTTAATATTTTGACATAGGGATACATAAGTTTAAAGACTGTTTCTCCTCAGTTTCTCAGATATCGCCACACTGAACCTCATTCTAAACTGGTGCTGTGGGTAGTGCCCCTCTCCCTTCCCTGTTTAGTTTAAGGAAAGGTTTCCTTCATGGAAAAGCACTTTTGAGAATTTCACATTTAAAATACGCCAAAAGCCTGATGTTCACATTGTGCTTTTAAAATCCCGTAACAGCTGAATACAACATACTTAGTCTCCTTTGAAATTCCCTCCCCTTTTCAGTAGAGGATGAATATAGTGACCATAGCTGTTACATTGAGAAGAGTGGGAATATCTCCAAAATAAGATTTTGGTGAAGAAAAAGTCTTAACACTGTTTCCTTTTGACCCAGCCAAATGTATATTATTACCATGAGCAGACTTCTTCAGGATCCACAAAGAAGAAAAGAAAGGCTTGGATGTCAGGAGTTCTTCCTTGGTGGGTGGGGTGTGGGTGGGGGGCGTTTAACAGGAGGGTAGCAGGGAGAAATGGTCAAGTCAGGGAAGGGGAGAAGAAAGAAAACACAAATTGGCCTTAAAATAGCTCGGATTCTCCCAGAAGCTCATAGTAAGAAGAGATGACAGATCGTGGTCAGCAGTTTATTTTATCAAATTGGTAATGTAAAAGATTTCTTTAAGCTCCATTTTGCAGAGACCACCACTTAGAGAATCAAGAATTCCTGTTTTGATATTTCTAAGTTAAAATAACTATATGTTACAGTTTATCTGGTACTTCATTTTTCTTAACTAAAATTACTTTTTACTTTAAGCTTGAATAAAATCTTCATTGGTAACTGTATATAATTAAGTGGCAACTTCTCTTTACCTCAGTACAGTTAAATCCGTTCATATTTTAAGTGATCCATGTATACCCTGAAGCCATTAATTACCCCAATGTCTGTGGCAACATCACTAACAAAATATGGGCATAGAAACTCCACAGCTGTTGACGAACTTCATTAGTGTGCCATGGTACATGTGTGACATGCACTGGGATTTGTGCCCGTTCAGGGCCAGTTTGGCACTCCGAGTCTACTGTCCTTCACCCAGCCACCCCTAGGTCTGAGTTTGCAGAGTGCTTCTGAAGTACAGTTAAGAACACTTTTAAAAAGTGGAGGCAAAGTGAGGCACATTTTACAAGAACATAACTCCATTAAAACGGAGTAACAACTATGCAAAGGTTTCTGTAGCAGCTAGGTGAGTTTGTGTTCCAAGTCTGTCTGAATTGGCAGCTTCTGCCAATTATACTGGTACTTTGCTGTGCCAATTTGCTGTAAACGTCTATTTCATGCATGTGCCGTGCAGTGACTGTGCTAGAAAAGTGAAATAAATGAAGCAACCTAGGATTTTATGGTACAAAGAACCTGATAGCAGGATGGTCTAACTCGTAGCTGTCAAATGAAAACCTCTGATTGTGCTGTAGTCTCTCTAGGCTTGAGGTGACTATTTTCAAGCCAGCTGCAAGATACTAACAAATGTATAAACTGAAAAGTACCAATACTTTTTGCACATAAGTCAAAATAGAGTGGAGAATTTTGGCTCCAAAAATCAGGTTAGTAGGCTTATTTCCATGTGCTTGAAAATGTTTTTGTTGTTAACTATTCATTGATCAAGGGCTAGAGCACGTATGAAATTAAATGTCTTTTTCCTCCAAATAACTGGTTATTAATAGTACAGTGTTGGATTTGGGGTTCCTAAAATGGGTGTGTGGGTGGTGAATTAAGAGTAGGGAATTAGCTGGGAGGGAAGACGGCCTCAGTTTTGATTTATGTATTTTATTAGTGTTCATGCTAGCTACATTTCTATCACTGGCCAGGTAAATGTTCTATTTAACCAGGTAAGTAGTTTAAACAGAGGAAATTTCGTTTGCAAATGCCCCTACAAATTGGCCCATTTTAGTGGGTGGGAGAACAAAAAGGGATTACCTAATTTTAAAAATAATTAAAATGACTTGTCAATATTTTATTAATCTAAAATCACACTAGTAGTAATTTGGTGATTTTTATTATTAGGAGTGTTGTCCCTCTAGAGTGGCATTACATGACATTAATAGAAAACCCTTTTTCCCCACCCCTCCCCATCTTGAAATTCTCTTTTTTAGGATGTTGGTTCCTGCACACGAGAACTGACCCTAACACCTCTGCTCACACTGGTAAATATATCTTACATCTCTTGAAAGGGAAACATCCATGTCAGTTTCTTTCACAGCAGAAGAATGACTACTTTTGAATGGGGAGGAAAGAAGACATTTTTCTTAATATCCTTTTTGTCCCATATCTAAAATGTTTATCTTGATTTTGTTTTACTTTCTCATTTAAATTTTAGCAACATTTTTGGGGTTGTTCCTGAAAACATGACTTCCATTTCAAAAACCATACCTGATTTAATATAAACCGCTAACTTTAAGAGGTGAATTTGCATTTACACTTAGACACTTTCTAAAAACAGGGTGAACTTAATTGAAAATTTTCGGTGTTGTTAAGCTATTGCTATAGTAGCTGCCCTATAGTTGCAAAAACAAAACCCATCCTTTATCTACTTAATCCAGATAGCCTGGATTTAATGAAACTAATAGTATAAAAATGTGTGTGTGTGTGTTGTATCTGTATGAAAGAGAGTACTTAATAAGTCCTAGAAACAGCTGTTCTGGGTTCTTAATCAGTTTTACTGAAAGTCTCGTGCACATGTGAAGTGCCCTCTCTGAATTAAGGTTTGGTTAATACTGGTATATTTTTATAAGACTGAAATTGTGTCCCCATCTTTAACTTAAAACATTTTCATCATCAGGGTCAAATGTGCTAAAACTGAATCGGAACATTTTTAGGCACAGGTGGAAAAAATTTTATTGGCTCCTTGAAAATGTGTGTATGTGGCGAGGGGAATAGATCCACAAAAGCATGTGTGTATTTACAAACCAAGCTGTAGAGATCAAGAAAAGAACTTAAGTGTTGATCTCAAGATTTCTAAATTGTCAAGATTTACATGGCATTGTGGTGGAACTAGTTAACACTTAGAGCTTTTGGTATGTAATAATTATTTGCTATGGACTGATTAAATGTTTCAAAGGATTGTATTCTTAAATTTGGGGGGGGGGTTGTTTTTAACTGCCTCTCAGATTATATTTAGTAGTTTAAATTTCTTTGCTTTATTATTTCATTAAAGCGTAAAAAACTTCAGGTCTCTGGTATATTTATTTTCACTTGTACTAATTATTTACAAAACACCCTTTGTTAACTTTTTATTTTACAAATGTGTAGTATATTAAATGTCTAAATTTTTGTTCAACTGAAACTACATTAACTTTGATTTGCTTTCCTGGGGTTTTTTTGTTGTTGTTTTTAAATACACCTTTTCCATGTCAGTGCATAGCACTTAACCAATTGTTTGTACTCCCTTTTAATTCAATAAACAGAATGAATAATTGCTGCTGTGTTAGATTTAAATCTAATAGCCATTAATCTGAGTGTTTAAATAGTACTGTTTTTAACCTAGAACAATCAGTTTGCTGAATTTGACATCCATAGATTCACCTGCAGTGTTTTAGCAGTGTCTAACAAAGCCCTGCTTAGCCAGTTACCTTTTTAAAGAGCTATTGTATGTAATTGTGGATTAATTTTGAAAATTTTCAGGAACATTTGCATTTTAAAGGAAATGCCCCATATGCTTCATGTTCAAAAATGTTGTTGTTCGGTCACCCAGTCATGTCCGACTCTGCGACCCCATGGACTCCAGTGCACCATGCCTCCCTGTCGCTCATCATCTCCTGAAGTTTGCCCAAGTTCAT